TATAAATTATAAATTAATATTATAAATTATAATTATTTCAATACTATAAATTATAAATTATAATTAATTTTTTTTTAATATTATAAATTATAAATTATAAATATTATAAATTATAAATGTTATAAATTATAAATTAATAATTTAATATTATAAATTCCATTAATATAGAAAAAAAAAACTTTAACACTAAATTTACAAATATTTATTTCACTAATTTTTAACAATTTACAAATATTTATTTCACTAATTTTTAACAATTTACAAACATTATTTGAATGAAGAAGTGGGTAGAAGCTAGGAATTAATATTTAAATAAATTTCCTTACATAATAAAAAACTAACATATATTTTAAAAAAATAATATTTAAGTTCTATATATATGTAGCCAAAAAAATTGAAATGAATTAAATTTGAAACTCAAAAGGCACCTCTCGTCCAACCTTACATTTAAAAAGTTTCCGACTTGAATGACATCTACGGACAAATAAGAAACTAATAGTTTTCTCGCAAGTGGTCATTTATGTTCGGTTGCAATATATACAACTTCCAAAATACAGTTGTTGAAGTTCCTCTGTGTGAAACTTCGGAGACACTTACAGAGTTCTTTTTAGTAACTCAGTTTTTCTCTGAGGAAAGTCCCTGGACCTCAGGCAGAAAGTGTCGTAGCTTGATTGTTATTAGCCTCCGCCATCTTTCTCGATTTCAAAGGGGAAGCTTCGGCTGATTTGTCTCGAGAATTAGGCTGGAGAGTATTGGTCAAAGCAAAGATGGATGTTTTCAAGGCGTAATGTTATTCCTAATTGGAAATTTTCGCACGCCTAGCTCAAGAGGGCTTTCAACAAAGGAACTTCAATTCTTTTTTTACTATTATTTTTATTTTCTTTTTTTTTTTCAACCAGTTTACTGACAAGTAGATTCCACAGCTTGTTTTACAATTAATTTAAACTATTCCGTTCTTACAAAACACTACAATTAAATCATAAAACATCACTCAAAGTGATTAATTGAAATCATCGATAAAATAAAATTAAAAAAAAAATTGAAAAGAAAATTGAAAATTGAAAATACTTCAACGAATAATTGCATCATAAATTTAATACAAAATTATTTGAGGAAAGATGATTGATCGTAACATTCTGAATAAGAAACAATTTTTAATATAAAACGAGTTAGCAATTGATGTTGTGTATGTGTGTATATGTGTGTGTTTTTCATGGATAAAAATTAGAACAAATTGAGAAAGAAAATGAAATTTTTAGGGGGTGGTTTACAATAGAATCTCGAGTACTTTTTTTCTTTTACCCTTCAATATTTCAAAGCCAGGTATAAAACCGCATTCTTAAAAAAAAGGGCCATGTGCGGCAAAGACGACGACGACGACGACTACGAATACGACGAGGAGAACTAACTGTCGAGGGCATTACGTAAAAAAAAAAAAAAGGGGGGG